CTGATATGCTGAACTTAAATGCCAGAATAAAGGTTAGAACTCCCTGCACTATGCCTGCCTCATGACAGAGTACAGCTTTTCTTAACTGGCAAAATTTAAATACCAAAAATAAATATGACAAATCCTCAAAGTAGTTTTAGAGGAAAAAAATTACATGTGGGGTGGTGATGGTGAAAAAACAGTGTATCTGTTTGCATGTCTGTTTTTAAGTACACATTTCCTTTACTTTATATATATCCATTCTCAAGGCTTGAAAAAAAAATAAAAATAACTCTAAGTCCACAGTGGAGTTACATTTAAGGACAAAACCAGGGCATTTGTATCCTAGATGAACTGCCAGTTTGTTCTTCGATGTATAAATGCAAAAACTTACTCAGGGAAGAAACCCAAATGAGCCACTGTCTCATCTGCTGCTGTTTCTAATTAATGAAAAACCCAGAAAATTCTTGCTTTCGCTGCACCAGAGTATTTTGATAACTAGGCTAATATACTCAATACTGTACTCCAAGCTGTACTGCGGCTTAATTAGTCAGGAAAAGGAGTGGCTGGCTCTCATTTCCAGAAGATCTTTAAGATTAAAAAAGTGTACACAGCACCACGTCTCAGTTTGTATCTCAGTTTGTATTCAGTTTGACTGCTTAGCTTTTTCATGCCTGTTTCACAAGAGATTTTCTGTAAAGATGTTTTTCTGTCAATGCCTAGTAACTAAGAGAATAAAATACCTGCACCAATCTTAATGCATCTCCCCCAGGAAGCATCAATCTAAATATGTGTCTACATTCTTAAGAGTAATTTTCTGCTCTAGCAGCCAGAGTCGAAGTCCCTTCTCCTCATGACTCAACGCAGTCTTTTCACAACCGCCATCTCAAGCAGAACAGAATGAGCTGAGCACACGAGGAATAGTAATTTCAAAAAGAAATAATCGCTACATATGTCAAAATAAATAGCTCTGCGTCCATGCAGTGGCCCTAAGATTACCAAAAGCATCTCAGATCAAAAAGCTGCAAAGCTGAATCAGACCTCAGGCTCTTAAAATGAAAGTGCCTGCTTGATTATGACTGACAAGCTTACAATCAAGAGTTCACATCTCTTATAAAACAATTATTTGACCCATGTAGTTTGTAATATATTAAGCAGGAAGGGAAGTGAAGAGCTTTCAAGTTGGAAACCTAATTATTAACTTCTTTCTATTTTTAAGAGTAAAACAAGGTTCTGATTCCTGAAGAAGGAGGCTCTGACAAGGCAGCTTGCTGTTTGTGCCTTCAGTTATCTGAAAAACCCATTTGGATATAGATGAAATAACAGAAAGTGCTTTCTCTCCAAATACAGTTTACAGGGATTGCTTCCTGCCATTAGCTTTCTTTTAAGTAGCCCTTTTATTATCAAAAGCGAGTTTGAAAAGCACAAACAACACATAAGCTCCTGGCCCTGAACTGCTCAGGAGCACAGGAATAAGAGAGGCCAAGTGCCTTCTCCGACTGGCAATCTGCTGGCATTTGTTGTTTGACTCCCCTTTGTGCTTTTGAATCGCTCTCCAACCAATCTCTCTCTACCAGAAGGTTGCATTAGATCCTTTGCTTCAAACACTGGCTCAGCATTCTCTGGGCACATTTACTCCTGTTACAAAGGGAAGCAGAAGGAGGGAGGAAGAACATTTGCTTTTCACACAACTTCATTTCCTCAAACACACACCATGAACTCAGTTATGAACACATGAAGGTCTAACCCATAAATGGAAATGAGTTGTCCTCAGGTGCTCTCCGGAGTCTGTTTCCATCTGAATGCAACTAGAATCCTGACAGAAAAACCTTCAAACACAATCCTTGACTACCTAAAGAAACTGTCTCCTTACACACAGAGGAGCAGTAGGTAAAGAGGAAACCCTTCAAATTCCTCAGGGGATGCTGATCCAAATAGCAACAAGAACGGACACATTGGAAGATCTGACACTGCTTCATTCCAGTTTAGTTCAAAGCCAGCCTACAACGAGACAAGTAGTTCTGGGTGTCACACAATTCCTGCAGCAGGCAAACATGTGGAATCCATCCTCAATCAACACCACCATCAATGCAAAAACTTATGTGAACTTATCCAAACATATTCCCTGCCTGCTGGCAGTCATTAAGGATCCTGTGGGCACCTAAACAGGCCTTGGTGCTACCCTGGAGGCAGTGATGGAAATATGTCATTCAGCAGGACCTGGCTCCCACTCCCAGGCCATCTGCCAGCCCACACAACTCTGCCAGCCCCAGATCCATCACAACCCTTCCCAAAAATTATGGCAGTGCGTAAATAGATGGTGGATACCCTGCATAGCCCAACATGTTTCCTAGGACTCATGAAGAAACTCTAACTCTTGGTACCACCTGCAAGACAGAAAACAGTTTCTACTGTCCAAGCGCAAAAAACAAAGTAATCTTTGCACAACCAAAGATCTTGTGGAAGATTGAAACACCCACAGTGCTACAGTGGCTACAGACAGCAGGGAATAACAACCTGATCCTACAGTTCAAGTCACCTCACCACAGCTCCACTGACAAATAACAGGTTAACAACCAGCAGCATGATTGTAGCAAGACCCTTTCACATGGAGGCTATCGTGCCTTCCTCATCAATTACAGCTATTGCTGAAGAGATCTTCACTGTCTCTCTGAATGCTAAAAGTTAAAAATCTACTAATGATAATGTGGTAATAAAACCCAAAATGAAACCAACACAACAAAAAAAAACCCACAACCACAAAACAACCCAAACAAAAAAAAAACTAAACCAAAGCCATGAGAACGAATGCTCAAACTTCAGAGCAATGCAAGGACTGTTTTATTTTGATGTCAATTTTAAAGCCATGTTAGTATTAGTTAAAGTTTGCCCTGTGGTTGCCAGAGGTCATGCAATATACCAGTAACAGAGAGAAATGAGTGCAGCATGGCTCTACAGGGAGACTTGCTACCTCTACAAGCCATGTTAAGACAGATGTGGATGAAACAAACTTGTTTGCAGAGAGCAGCTGCATTATCCCATCAAAACAGGAATATCCGATGGCTTACTAAAAAGAGACAGAGGCCATTTGTCTGCTGATCTAACAAGCAAAATCCTCTCCTGAGCTCATGGATATTTATTAATCTGGTTCTGAGGGTTCACAACCAAGTTCTCACAGTTTAGCAAGGGCACATCTGCCGACCACACATACTCAGTCTGGAGGAAAGGCACAAGCAAAACATCCATGCTCCAGTCTCATGGACTAGGTTTGAAGCAATGCAGTTTAATGTCATTTTTGCAACAGACTCCAAGGTTGAAAGCAGGGAGGTACTACAGAAATCACTGCATAAAACAACGATGTGGAACTCTGAAACCAGGCTGAAAGAATTCAAATTCCAAATCCCATGTGACAGACATTTGGATGTTTCACAGCAGCCTGTAATCTCCTCTCTGAAGAGACCGCCTTGAAGTGTCTGCAGGCTGCACAGTAACTACACGAGTGAAAAAAGTTACTGCCCTTAGCTCTCCTTCATAATTCCTCCTAGAAGTGCCCACATCTCACTCGTGCAGCTGGTTCCAGCTTCTTGGCAAAACAGGCCAGGTCAGCACAAACCGTTCATTTTCACCTTTTGCTCCAGCCAGGCACATCCAGGCGGCTCAAAAGAACAGCTCCACCTGCGGATCAGATGGAGCAGATCCCTCTGGCAGTGACAAGCATCTGGGAGCAGGATGATCTTCCACATCAGCCCACCTCACTCAGCCCAGACCCCAGGGACCAAAATATTCTCACTGACAAGAAAAATGAAGGTGCTTTTCCCCCTCAGCACACGTGCTTTTCTCAGCTTTGTGGACACATACCTCAAAAAGTCAAAAGGTTACCAAAATACTTTTTAAGGACTTGTTTAAAGAAAAGAGTAATAATCTGATGGTTAATTGTGCTTTCTAAGGATCTCATTTATGTTTTCCAAACTCGAGAGACTTGGCAGTACTGTCAACACCAACAGCTAACTACAGTCTTCAAGGAGAAAGAAGAAAAAGAACCGACATTTAACAAAGACAGTTCTGAAGGAGAGATGAAGAACCACTATATATATATATAAAAATTATACATATTAACTATATATATATATGTTATACCAGGTATCGGGAGCTATTGCAGCCAGGTTGTGGAGTGTCACAGAATTTATTATTGCCTTCGGTGAAGATCTCCGTACATCGAAGTCCTCCAACCACCGATACACAACAGTATTTCGACACTTTAATCCGGACTAGGATCGCAGCTCCGCTGCGGGAGCATCACCTCCCTCCGCAGCTATTTGAGGCAAACGCAGCAGGAACTTCATCAAAGAGCACGTGAAGCCCATGTTTACCTCGGGACGTCTCCAGAGGCACTGCCTGGCCGTCAAAAAGCACCGCCTGAATCGTCAGGCTTCCCCTTTTCCTGTCAGCGATTTGTTAGAAACGATGCGCATGTTGGACTTGACGATCCTGGATGTCTTTTCCAACCTTAATGACTCCGTGATTCGAATACCCACAGGCGCGTTGGGACTGTGCGAATTTATATGCGATGGGATGGGAGCAATGAGCCGCCCAGAGCCAGCAGCGCACCGAAATTAGGATTCGGGGCTTTAAACACCTCGTTCTTCTCAGGCAGCGGTCACCCACACACACGCCAAGCGGGCACACGAACGCGCTGGCACCGGAGCCGCGGCGGCTTCCCCGCAACGCGCACATCGCATCACGGGCGCTGCCGGGCCAGGGCCCGCCTCGCCACCCCCGAGGCACCGCTGGGGGCAGGGACAGCGAACATCCTCGGTGGGGTGGGTGCTCTCGGAGCCGCGAAGTGTCCCCCAAAAAACCCTCGTCGTCCGTCCCCGCCCGACACCGCCCCCCCCGCCACCCCCCGCCGTTCGCCGCTCTGAGGGGGGGCGCGCGCCGCGGCCGTTGGGAAGCGCGCGCGCTGCGGGCCGTGTGGGGAGAGCGGGGGGCGCGCGGGGGGTGCCGTGCCCGCCGCCCCTCACCTGGAGACGCAGTTCTCCAGCACGGAGCTCTTGCCGGCGCTCTGCCCGCCCACCACCGCGATCTGCGGCAGGTCGAGCAGGCAGTTCTGGCCCAGCGCCGCGAAGGCATCCTGCAGCCGGTTAACGAGCGGGATGAGCCCCTCCATCCCGCCGCCGCCACCGCCGCCGCCGCCTCCTCCTCCGCCCGCCGCCGCTGACAGGTAACGGCCGGCGCACTGCGCACGCGCCCCGCCCTCCGCGAGCCTGGGGGCGGGGCCTCCGCGGGGCGGCCACGCCCCCTCCCGTGCGGAGCCCGGTGCGGATCCCACGGCTGTCCCACAATTATCCCACAATTATCCCACAATTACCCCACAATTATCCCAAAATCCCTTCTTCCCCCCGTTGTGCCAAAGGCCCGTCCACGCTCAGAGTCAAGGGATTGGATTTATTTTTAATTCTGCGCGGAAAGAGGGCTTGGTGGCAAATCCACAAAGCCGGAACGAGGATTGTCAGAAGTTTTCCCTTTTTGTGGATTTTAACAAACCAAGGCGTTGATGTTTATTGGCTACAAGTTATCTAGTTCGCTTATTAATTACTGTTCTATCTGCTGTCGGTTAATGATCCTTTTGGTTCCAATGTTAATTATTCTGCATGCTCAGTCTTTCTCTTGAGTCAGTGGGGTTTTTTGAGTCAATGGTCACAATTTGCCCCTGCCAGAATTACCTCTTACCCAGCCAGACCTGATTTCAGCATAGTTGCTCAGTTGTTTTTATTAGTTTCTTCCTTATTTTGGATGTTCTGCCAAATATCCTTGTAGCCCCTCAATTCTGCGTTCTTTGTGTCATTTAAGAGTGGTACACCCTTCTTCCCTTTGGTAACCTCCCCCGAGGTCTGAGATAATTGAAATATGTCGGGCCCTAAACCTTAACAAGGCAATTCTACCGACAAGTAATTTGTCTTTCTACCACCTGGACATCACTTTGAGTTTGCTTGCAGGGGATTCGTTTTTCACAGATTGCCCAGAGAGCCTGTAGAGTCTCCCTCAGTGGAGATATCCCAGAACCAACTGGACACGATGCTCTGGGATGACCCTGCTTGAGCTGGGAGATCAGACCAGAAGCCCCCTGACAACCTGACCCATTCTGTGACTCTGTTCCTGCCTGGGGACAAGGCCACCTCGGTGCTGGGACACTTGGACACGAAGAGCACGGTTCACCCAGGTCTGTGCGCTGACCATGAGACCACCACGGTGCTCCTCTCCCCCAGGAGCCCCAACTCCAGCTGGCCACCCCATCCTGCTGCTGGGAAGGGCTGTGGCAAAGCTCAGCCACAGGCAGGAGTGCTGCCTGTGTGTCAGGCACATCCCGAGGAGGAGCTGGATCCAGCAGGGCTGGCAGCAGGTGCATGGCTCAGGAGCAGGCTGGGAAGCGACAGCAAAGTCCAAGCCAGCAGCGGGTTCAATTAAAAATGCACACTGAGGCTGAGCTAAAAGCTCAGGCACACAACAGAGATGAGATTTAGCTGCGATTACTGGCAGCAGTCACATCATGAAAATATCCAAAACGCAGGCTTTGGAGTCCTGCAGCGATAAAAGTTATCCTCTCTATTAAAGCAGACACTGGCCTCACTCAGCGTGAAAAACAAAACAAAAGGGAACTGTGAACATCCCGCAGGCTGATGGAGACTAATGATCTGGAGGATTATCAAAACTTCTTGGCCAGAGCTCTCAATAAGTGTAAAAAATTACTCCACAAAAGACCGACCTATAACTCTGGAAACAGTTTTTAATCGGCATAAGGAGGAGATGGCTTCTCCTCGCTGCTGCAGTTAGATCACAGCCTCTGGGAAAAGCCTTGCCATCATTTCTGTCTAGTTGGGAACCTGGGAGTTATTGACATAATTATGCCAATTAGCAGCATGATTATTTCTTTCCCCACTCCTGGGCGAGCAAGCTATGCCAGGAGGCACTGGAGTAGATGCCTGGCCTTCCTCCAGTTTGTGGGTTTCTATGGAGGCTGGAAGTTGGGAAGAACATTATGAGTGTCAGAGCACTTTGTGCTGCCCCCATGCAATAATTAAGATCCGTAGAAGAGCAGCCTGGCCACAGGATTGCATCTCCACATGAGACAAATGAAGATTGAGAAAGGCACGATGCCTGGGGAGCAGCAACATGCATACCTTCAAATTGATAACCCAGGGAACTGTGCTTTCAGTGAGGTCTTTAAATTACAGCTTGGTCTGCTTCCATGATTAAAATAAAATAAACTAGGAGAACAACTAAGATTAGGAAAAGTTTTGAGTTATTCCCCCAAGTCTGGGAAGTTCCCGAACCAAACTTTTTTTTTTGGTGAAGCAGAGTTAAAGCCACTAAGTGCCCACATTCACCTTGCAACTCTATCACTTACAAAACTCCACTCCCCCCCTTCCAGGAAAAAAAAAAAGCCACAAGTATAGATTCCCCACCTTCTGGAAAAAGCACAAACTATTTCATTATGGGTGATTGTGTTATTATGAGAGATTTTCCTCATTTTCCCAACAACTCCAAGAGAGCAGGGAAGGAGAGAGGAGAGGGACCCAAACATATCTTTAGGTCTCTGCTTTTCCTGACTGACTTCTCTGGGCAGCTTGTTCCATCCCCCCATGCAGAGCCCAGCCTGGCTTTTTGAATTTGCCAAGATTCAGAGCAGCTAAATTAAAGCAAACAGGGGTGCTACTAGCAGAGACCATTGCAAAGCTTCTTGTAACAACTTGGAAATACAAGACCCAAATCTGTGTCAGGGGGCCATGCAAGAAATTATTCCTTGGGGGAGCAGTAGGTGCAATCCCCAGGAGCAGAGAGCTGTGCTGCTCACTGCTTAAACACAATCTGATTTTACCCTGCTGTGCTCAGTTGTGCCTCACAATATTTATCATTTTCTTTTGCTGCATAAGCAAGGAGAGAAAACCTCTGCTAAGCACCTTTCCTGGCACGGCAGGAAGGGTGGGTGCCCTGCTCCCCAAGGTGACATCCTGACTCCAAAAGCGTGGTCTGATGTCACATGTCACCAGCTCCAGCACAGCCTGCCTGGGATGCCCAGTCACAGCCTCCAGTGCAATTTCAGATCAAGGCTACAGACAGAAAGCTTGTCCTGCCATGACTTCCAGAAAAATATATGGCAAAAATAGCCTGGCGTCAGGGTGCAGCTGAACCCACAAACATACACACACAGACACTTCTCCCAAACCAGGCAGCGTCATGATAAAACTGAGGACATTTGGACCAGGTCCCCAGGCTGCTTCATAAACACACACCAGTGCGATTCCCTTCAGGAGAAATGAGTTATATATAAACCAGAGAGAGACTCGCAGATGCCTGCACTGAAGAGCCAGTCATGCTGCCCTGCCCGGGGAGAGCAGAGCACAGCAAAGGCTGCATCCTCTCCCCTGAGAAAAGGCAGGTTCCTTCAACATTCCTCACCTCCTTCTCGCTTCAGACACAAACCCAGAGTTTCTGCAGAGCTTTTCAGGCACAGAGCAGGAGCAGGTGTGGGCAAGGAGCCCATGCAAGGGGGAGCTCCCAGGTTCTGGGCAGCACTTGGCTCTGCAGCGGAGCTGCATGAAGATGCCACTCAGCATTATGCCTATGCGTCTGCCAGGACCAGAGCTCAGACCTTGAAGCTACAAAAGATGGAATTCAAGCCCGTGAAAGGAAGCCAGAGTGGCTGCAGCATTTCTCCATGTAAAGTGGATGTGTTTTCTGCCTTCCCCCCACAGCCCGGGGCACTGCTGACTCACTGATCGCAGGACAACCCAGTCCCTGTCCCATCTCTCCTCTCTCCTGCCCTATGACCTCCAGCTGCATTTTTTAGCCGGGTGCATCCAATTGCAGGGTAGAGAAAGGGCACCGTGCTGCATTGCAGCCTGCAGAGATGTTTCCCTGCAGCCCTGAGCACCCCAGGAAAGAGCTGCACTCCCTCCCTGCAGCCTGGCAGCATGCCTGCTTCCTTGGCCACAAAGCCAAGGGCTTCTCCAAGGGAAGATTTCATGGACAAAACACTTGCCACGTGCTTCCAGCCTCTGGGAGTGGCTGTTGCAGCCCTTGTTGTGCTGGACCATGCCATGCAGCATCCCCGGGCAGTGGGGCCAAGGCTTTGCCCAGCTCAAGGGAATCAGCCCAGGGCTCAATCCCTGCAGCTTTTGTTGCTGAAAATCTCTCCCAGCTGCTTGCTGTACTTTGAGCTGATGACAGTATGTCCCTCATCCACCTCCACCCTGTCCCCGAGAGGGAACTGGAGTGTCATTCCCTTTTCCCTTCTGCAGAACCGGGACTTGGGCTGTGACACCATATGGGGTGTACTTGTGGCACCCCATCAGTGTCTGCTCACAGCCACCCTGGGCCAAAAACCCTCTCTGCATCCTTCCACCCAAGCTCAGGAAACTCAGGGCTGACCCACCAGCTCTCAGGGTCTCGTTCACTGGAGTGGGAGCAGGACATGGATGTGATGCTCTAAGGACCAGCCCAAAGCATCCCCAGCTCACACCTGAGCCGTGGGATGAGTTACACACCAGGCTCTTTTTGTGCTGGGAAAGGCAGAAAGGAAAAAGTCAACATCTCCGTGCCAGTGGAGGTTGCTAAGTGACGGCAGAGCTTGTTTCCATCCCACCACTGACAGCATGCTGCAAGGGAAGGAAGTGAGGAGTAAGGGATGTAAACATGAGTACATTGCCAAAACACTCGACATATACATTAGCTTCATGTTTTGGCTGCCAGCAGAGAAATATTTACTATGTGTCAATTACTCCAGCCTCGGAGCGTTTTACCTGCAGAGGATTTGCAGCACTCGGTGAATTTGCCAGTTTTCCAGCTGAAATGAATTTTCAGACCAAAGTTGTCAAGCTATCAGTAGCTGCAAGAACAGCTGCAATGAACTGAGATTTCATCCTTACTTTGTTTCTAATAGATGGCTTTTGTTTTTCCACCAGGATGTGGCGTTATGCAGCATTTTGGAAGCACAACAGAAAGGCAGGAGTGGACGAGGGGGGGATAAAGGCAGCCTTTGTATGAGCTCCTGGGGAAGAAAGGAGATGGTTTTGGTAAAATAAAGGGCATGCACACACAAGCCTGTGTCATTAAGATTATGTTGAGAATTGCAAACTAAGTTAAAAATAGAGTAAATGCAGCACTGCTGATCTAGTTGAGAAATTTGCCATTGCTAAGCTAGGTGGATAATAGCTAGCTTTCAAAACAGTGCTCATCA